CAAGGTATTTTATTGGTGGGGAAAATAAGGCCAAGCAACAGCTCACATGATTTTTAACATGTGAGGTTCTGTTCTGTTCAATCCTGTTGCTGTCACTGGAGTTCCGACTCCCTTCGATGGGCAGCGTACAAAGTGGTAAGTACCTTCTTCATCTCTACAACAGACTATTTTGTTTCTGTCTGCGACAGAAGATTTTGCTTCTCTCTAGGTTTGAGCCAATCCTGTTCTTCCTCTTTTAGTAAAACTGCAAAAGACATGCTTATTATGAGCATGAGAGGTCTGTTATTCACAGGGGGAAATGTGGCCTGGGACCTCAAGGAATCAGCCAGGAGATGCTGTGACTTCTCTATCTGATACCTGTGAAAGTCTTCTCCATTATCTCAAGCTGGCACTGAAGAATTGCTTTGTTCTCTGACGGATGGATCTTAAAAAAAATGAATACAAGATCTACATTGAACAGTTGAGAGGGCAGAGACAATGAGCTTCTCACCTCTGGTATTACTTGTAACAGGTAAAGTCGCAGGGGGCATAATGACCTTGCAAATCTCACGTGCACTGACTTCACTATGGCATGAAATAAGCATTCCCAAGAGGCTCAGGGAAGAGGCATTGTGTATTCTGATATCACTTGTTTTCCATTATGACCGTTTCCGTCTTCCGTTAACATTCTTCTGCGATGAGCCCTTTTTATTATATGCCCTTGTTCCATATGTCAGCATTTTCAGTATAGCCAAAACGTAGCCAGAAGCATTAGCACCCCTGTTTCTTTCAGTCTTCTCTCTGCATAAAGACACTACTAGTTGCCTCTCCAGAAGAAGACCGGAATGAATTGTCTCCTGTCTTTCAGCTAATATTAATATCATCATATGCCTGGACAGTATCTGGGAGCACTCAACAGGTCAATAGCATCAGGCAGATCAAAGTCCACGATGCACTTTATAAATAAAATGTAAGGCATACAAAATAAAGGGAAGATGAAGAAGAATTTCATTTAACTTATTCGCAATGTCCAGTGTTTGCAAATGGAGAGTCCAGGAAAAGAACCAGTGAGGGGTCAAATCTAAGGCAGGGCTTCCTGGGAGTCACGCAGACCTCTCTCAGGCCCCTGAGGGTGACTAGACACCTCACTGCAGCGCTTGGTTTTGTACTGGCTGGCGCTTGTCATTTCATTCTGTAATCTCTGTCTTTTTCACCAGTGTCTTGCAGGACCTAGAACTGTAAATCAATCTGTTTGATGATTGTATGTACAACCTCAGCTTTCCATACGGTTTTCCTCTGTTGTAGTGCACTGCAATGGAGGTGTAATCATTTAACCTATCTATCTCAGTTGCAAAATTCCTCAAAGAAGGCATGTAGGAAGTAGATTTGGGAACTTAGGGTCATTTTCATACAAAAACCAGTAGGATTCTGAGATCTCTAGATTTAAAGCAACGAGGCTCCCAGCACTGTTCAGCCACATTAGTTCCATATTGCTTGGGAAGATGTTTGGGGAAAACGTCAAACAGTAGCTTTTCACTTTTGTATTCTCTTCATTATCGTTGGATGAACATAGACAGGCAAATGTCATGCCTGGGAACGGCTGTCTGTGAAAAGCCCGTACAATACAGAGGTGGCTCTTGCAGGTAAAATTCAAATAAAAAAAAGCTCCTTTATAAGACAAATTCAGGAAAGAGAACCACATCTACCTAGTAGCACTAGGTCAATATGATTACTAACACAACCCAGAGAAGCACATGTCCTCACAGTACCTAGACATGACGGATTAGCTTTGCAGCTGGCTAAGAAAAAGTGAGTGGTGAGTCAAAATGACCCTTCCTTGTCTTTACATATATGGGTTGCTTTCCCTTTCTCAAAAAGATGAGAGAGGCAGATTAAATGGTATTGGGGTGTTCTGAGCCAGCAAGCTACAAAGTCAATGAGCAGCTTTTTAGGGCATGGTGACCCATAGGAATCAGCAGTGTAACATTTCTTTTATAAGCTTTCTATCTGGGTGGAAATCACAATGCCTCTACTATAATATAAATCCAGGAACATGTGGCAGAGTCTTGTCTCTGGCTTTTTGGGGCCACCTCACACCCCCCCTAAGCGTGCATCTATCCTCTGTTTTCTTTTCTTACATACTTAATCTTTGGTCACTCTCAAGCTCAACTTAAGAGTGCTTTCTTCCCTCATTTTTCTAGGTTTCTAGGCAGAAAAAATCAGCATAGACGTTTGCCTTGATCTTTTTTGCATTAGTATGTCAGAAAGCCCATAGCAAAGGTGAGTGCATATGTAATGTATCTATTTCTGTTTCCCTTGAGACTTCCTTTCAGTAGAAGAGGAAGAATGGGCTCTGTGAATCCTTGCCACGTAAGACAGCGCTAGCACAATCTCCTTACTTTTAAGCCTTGAAAGGGGCCAACTGTTAGCATAAGGAACTAATAAGCTGGGACTCATTGGGAGGGTACGAAGTTAAAAATTGTCTCCTCAGAGGTCTTGTCTTTTCTGTTGCATGAAGTCCATCCGGGATAAAAGAAAATGAGCAGCAGGGGACATGGTAAAGTCCTAGTTTTCTTCAAGTCTTTCTCTTAAGTTAGTTGCTGCACTGTTTTGAGAGGTGCCTCCTGCTATTCGCATTTTAAGAGGCAACTCTTCAGAAAAGCACTCCAACCAAGAGGATTCTGTTCACTAGAGAAATGTAACTGCTGCTTGTGACTGACAGGTTTCACTTGAGTCCCCAAACTGCCAGCAGGCTGAGAAGTGATACCAGATCTGAGGACTGTAGCATCAGGGAGGAGATAGCTACAAAGACGGTGCAGAAGGTTCTGATTCTCTGTGTTCATTCTTTGGTGAAAAAATGCAAAAGATTACATTTGACATACTCTTGCTTTATGCCAAAAACTTACGATGAGTGCAGTCAAAAAGTGGCTGTCACCCTGATTTAGTTTATTAAAGCCATGTGAAGAAATAAAAACAAAATAGATGATTCAAGGTCACTATGTATTCTTTTCTCAGCAGTGGAATTTCAGCTCGAGGAAAACAACTAGGCCAAATTCATGTCTGGTGCAAACAGATGTATTCTCTTAGAAATAAATGCACCCACTTACACTGCGTCTGCCTTAGGTTTGTTAGTGGGTTTTTATGAGATTTGGCAAGTGTAATGCTATCTGTTAATATCTGAAGGTGGGAGTGTTCTGGGAGTTGTCTGAAAGGCTTGCAAGACTAGATCTGGTCATATCCACCCACGCTAATTAACACATTACATAAAGTACAAGTTTCTCTTTGCAAACACTAGAATCACTTGCCCAGGTGCCTTCTGTGAGTCTAGAAGAACTACAGGGATGGACTTTGTCACTTTTTAACCTCAACTGAACAATGGATGGGTAGGGTTTATTTCCCTCTTTCAGGGCTCGCGCTTTTTCTTCATCCTGCTAAAATGCACCATCGGCAGGGAGACAGCTGAAAGGACCTTTCTGAAGTTCACCAGGGTGCACCAAGGAACATGTTTTTTTTTAAGTTAAAAACACAAAATCAAATATCGAACATGAGAAATTAGATTTACTTATGAAGGATGCCTTCTACTCTTCCCTTTCTCTTCCCACCCTGCCTTGCTAATTCGGAAAGTTAACTTGGTACAAAACACCAGCCTCTGCAATACCTGGAACTGAAAAATCCTTCTATTTAAATACAGGGTCTCTCTCTTTATATCAGGACAACATATGCCCCATAATAGCTATCATTTTTCTATCATTCCAGTTTTAAAACAGGCAGCAGAAATCTCCAGTATAAAAACTCTAGTAAGGGGTCGTCTTCTACTTCGTAGATTAGAGCAAATAATACCTGAAGGGCTTAGCTAATTCCGTAAGAAGCTTCTGTGACCTGCTCCTACAGCTTCTCCTAGATTCCTCCAGCAGGATAATAAATATATACCCCGATTTAGATTTATTCCAGACCCTTTGTATGACATCTGGCTTCAAGATGGTGGCACTGAAAAGTGCAGTAATGACATTGGAATACAGAAGGGAAAAAAAAAAAAAAGTTTAGTGTAGTGTAAAGCAGGAGGCAGTGGAGAGAGCAGGGAAAGCCAAAATTAAAATAAGTCAAAGGGCAGCGGAAATTCCTTTGAGAAAGCCTTAGGCTTCTACAAAGCTTGTCTACATTTGCAGCAATTCAAGATTACCCAATGTCAACCTTATGTTAGAAGGGACAGCAGACTTCAGTGGGCATTCCAGAGGCGCCTTCCCATTAAAAAAAAGTCTTCAAGTGTATCCAGCCAAACTTGCAAGCAGTTCACTTGGGTGTAGAGCATTCTATCTCACAACACTCACAAGACAAGAAATTCTCTTACTCCACTCTTCCTTACTATCTAAAAAGCAAAGTCAATGTTTTCCTCATTATTTTCTGTTTGCTGCATACCTCTCCCCCA